TTAAAGAATAATTTGCCTAGATCCCAATTGATATTTGTGCATGGGCCTTCATCTATTAAAAGTTAAAATAGATAAAATTAACAGTGACATCTGGCTGCATCATATGTTGTCACCACTTGTGCTCCAGATGTGTAAGGTAACACACCTCCTTTGTAACCGCTCCCTGCATCTTGTAGAAATGTCTGAACCTGCAACTCTGTTGTTCTACTGTTTTTGGTATGTACATAATTTAAACTGACTGTATAATATTAGTTCATAACTGTTAACCAATATTTCGGCTAACTCATATACTATTTTTGTATCAGCACCCTGTTCATCATGTTACCATGCAACGTTAGGAAGAAATGTTAATCCTGTCTACATTGATAATGCTTACTGCTCATACAGTCATGGCGATGGTTTCATCTTTATATTGTATAGTTTTAGGCATAGTTTTAAGTTTAATTTTAAATTTGATATTTTTTCACCTTGTATAATTTTAAGTATATTAAGACCTCTCGCTATTACTCTCGCGATGATGGACTATTTTTCCATTGCAAAATAGTCTGAAATGCATTTTGGATTTTTACGGTTTTTATACTTATGTAATCATCTTATTGTACTCCCTTTTTGTTTTATTAATTAAATTTTTACTTTGATTCTTGAGTGTTTGTGCCCATTATCATTGGTGTGATAAGCCCTTTCTATTATCTACCTTATGGTTATAGATATTTTAATTAATTTAATTATACTTAGGGCTAAAAGCAATTTCTGTAATGACAACTGATTATATAGTATTTTAAAAAAATTAAGTGTTTTTTTATTTCAACTTTTAAAAGACATTTTAATATTCAATATGAGACTATGACTTTAAGTTGAATGTATATAATNGTTTGTGCCCATTATCATTGGTATGATAAGCCCTTCCTATTATCTGCCTTATGGTTATAGATATTTTAATTAATTTAATTATACTTAGGGCTAAAAGCAATTTCTGTAATGACAACTGATTATATAGTATTTTAAAAAAATTAGGTGTTTTTTTATTTCAACTTTTAAAAGACATTTTAATATTCAATATGAGACTATGACTTTAAGTTGAATGTATATAATAATGAAAACATCTTACATAACTACCAGTATCTTGGTATAGGGGAGACCGGGGCAAGATCGGCATGTTAAGCTTTACTTAAATTTTGTGTAATAAATACTGCTGTAAACTGAAAAAAAAAGTTTTGATATNTTCTGTAATGACAACTGATTATATAGTATTTTAAAAAAATTAAGTGTTTTTTTATTTCAACTTTTAAAAGACATTTTAATATTCAATATGAGACTATGACTTTAAGTTGAATGTATATAATAATGAAAACATCTTACACAACTACCAGTATCTTGGTATATATTATTTAGGCACTGCATTAAAAATATAGAAAAAGCTTATCACCCCACGACTTACCATATAACACCGAAATTCCATAAATATGTAATAGTTCCCGTTGTTGCAATCTAAATACATAAATAAAGTATATGCTTCAATATCCAGTTTATTAGCAATATTTACATAAAATAATTTATCTAAAATTTTATTACGGTTACGAATGTATGCGGAACAATTTTCTTGCCAAATATCTTGTTTCTGCATCTTGCAAAATAGCGCAGTCTAAATGATGTAAAAATCTACTTTTGTTGTTATAACAACTCTGCCTGATATTTTCACATCCCACTTGCATTCACCGATTCTACATTCATGTTCATAAAAAACCGACGATTTCAGCCTCGTTTCTTTGAAAAGACGATCCGGAGCCGAATCCGACAATTCTGTTACAAAAACTGAAATAAATGGTGGGAAGTATTTTAATTGAGGAGTGGATCTGGACAGCAAATTTGTACCTTACTTTCGAGCCATCTTTTAAACGTTTTATGCAATAGAATTTTTTTATCTTTGTTTCTTTCTTCCTTCAAACTAGCAGAAATTGAAAATTTCGAGAAAAACGTTTTTAAATAATTTTTATATTGGGTGCGATTAGTTATTTTCGTTTTAATTTCAGCTTAACATTAATCTTGGTCATTTAAATCATTATAAAATAAATATCAAAATAGAAGAATTTGAAAAAAATCCCAGTAATATATGTCACTACATGCGAAATTTACTTGAAATGGAATTTTATGACGTGTTGTTCAATTAATGTTATTTACATTTAAACCCTGCTATTAAATAGTGTGGTGAGGATAGATTTTTACAAGCTTTTGGAAGCGTTTATCAGTGATGTAATGAATGATGACGATATAATTCAATTTGGACGATATTTTCAACAGAATTATTGTAACAGACCTAAAAATGAGCATACTATTATAGAAAGTATTTGAAAATAAATACAAATATGTATTAATTAATCGTTCCGTTACTAGTTTCTGTGGAAATTTTTTTAAAAAAAACCTAAATCTATTAGCTTTTCTTCAGTAACTTATCACACAAGGAAGAGTTATTGATATAGGCTTCATTACTGGAAGAAATACATTTCGGGTCTTAATGACCCCTCTTTAGTCCTTATTCTTTAGAAAAGAAATGATAGATAAAAATTACATCACATAATAATACAGGTAATATATTTTTTTAAATTGTTAAACTTACATAGCTGATTATTAATTAAAAATTGGGCAATTGACTGGATAAAATCTGTTTAAAAAGGATGTAGTATAAGATAAAATTAAGGTGGATAAGTAAAAAAATGTATTAAAAAATAAAATACTATAAATTGCTATTACCTGTAGACGAGTAAAAAATTACGAGGTGGATAATGTTTAAAAACTTCCATAAAATATATAAAACAAACTAAAAAAAATAAAATTGATTTTATTTTCTTAGAGTATATTTGTCATTATAGTCTAGGTGCCTTTACGTGACAGTATATTTTACATTTGATTTCTTAAGTTTTAATTTTAATTTTCTAATTGTTTTAATTTCAACATTTTTGAAGGGAAGTTTTTAAAACTTGTTTTATATATTTGGAAGTTTTTTAAACATTATCCACCTCGTAATATTTTACCCATCTACACGTAATAGCAACGTACTGTATATTATTTTATACAAAAATCCTATACCAATAGCTGAATGAGCGATAAGGAACAGAATAATAATTTAAAATAAGTTTATTCTCACAAAAATAGCATTTCTTATATTCTCCATTTATTCTGTATAAACCATTGTTGCACAATACCGATAGATAGTGTCAATGAGAGCCAAATTCCACTTTTAACAATCAGCAAAACATTAAAGTTTTCTGTAAAATTTCCAGAATGTTTATTTTTGAATTTAGGTAAACCATTATTTATAATTGCGTGATTATATCGCGTAAAAAATTAAAATTCTAGTAACCATATCTAACAAAACTGCTTATTAAATGTTAAAGATTTAATTTCCTGTTAACTAAAAAGAATGTTAATTTGTAAGCATCTACTTCATATCTCTGTTCTATAATAGCTTATAGTCTATATTAAGAAAATTATGCTGATAAATATAGTTTTATTTATTTATTGCACAGTAATTAAGGCCGCTATACACGATGGGTTAATCCTCAAAGGAGTAACCATGCATGCCTGATTTTGAGTCATTCCTGGAAGTGTGGGGGGGGGAAATTTAATAGTTTCGGCGAATGTACCGACCACCTGAGTAGAATCGGCCATATTCTTTAGGTTAATCCTCAAAGGAGTAATCATGCATGCCTGACCTTTATAATTCTTGGTAGTTTATGGGGTACAATTTAACAGCTTCGCCGACCACCTGAGTAGAATCGAAAAACCATTTGATTTTCCTGCGCTGTGTCAGACTGAGTAGACCCACCATTACGCTTTACTGTAATTACTCAGGGCCAACAAAACAATTACTAAAATAACCTAATGACGTGTTAATAATAGGATATCGTTTGCTCTATCACGTGGCTCTTTCAAAGTGGCTTATACTGTATTCTGGAAACGCGTTTCCAGACACGTTAAGAAAATCCCCTCACGAATAATCGTGCATGCCTGACCTTGAGAAAATTCAGAATTTCCTATCGCCCACACACGAGGAACAAATTCTCTCAGTCAGTCAGTCAACCATGGCATCTGATGACGACATACTGGCTGTGCTGGGATGTTTATTAGCAACAAATTGTATTAAAAACTCGCCAGAAAAAAACATGTGCCTAGAAGTCTATGGTGTAAAGAGTGGCTTAAAAAAAGAGGATCGTATTCCCACGTGAACCTGATCTCAGAATTGAAGTTAGTACCTAAAGATTGGCACAACTATTTAAGAATGGACGAAGAAACGTATTTAAATCTATTATCATTGGTTACACCAATTATAAAAAAACAAGATACTGTAATGCGAACAGCAATTCCACCACATGAGAGGCTCACGGCGACCTTAAAATATTTGGCAACTGGCAGAAGTTTTGAAGATCTCAAATTTTCAACAGTAATATCAGCTCAAGCCCTTGGCTACATCATACCTGAAGCATGTGATGCTATTTACAAAGTCCTTTATAAAGATTATTTAAAGGCATGAACAAACTTTTCTTTTTAATAGATATTTATTGTCATAACGTACAAAAAATGCCAAATTACATACTGTATAAACATATACAAATTACAATATCAGAAAGGGTAATCTTAATAATCACCATGTTAGAATGACATAATTAAAATTTAAAACAAAACTACAGTATGTCATTTTAACACGGTGATTATTAATTAAGATTATCCTTTCTGATATTGTTCTTGCTCCTGATAAAGTTGACGGTAGTGCTGGAAGAGGGACTAATAATACCTAAACCGGTAGAAATTGGTGGTTGATAGGGAATAAATTGATGTGGCAAGTGTTGCTGTTCATACACTAATTTATGGAATAAAGTTAAAGTTCCCATCTCCGCTTGAAACAAAGTTTCGTTTATTAGCTTTTCGGCAATTAGCATTTGTTGCTTTGGGAGTCCACGCAATTTCATTGCAACATTTTTTCCAAAAATATCGAAACGATCATTTTGAACGTGTGGTTTCTTGAAGTGATCTTTCACAGTTAATAAAATTTCATTAGTCAACGATTCTTGATCCACTCGACTTTGTTTAGAGGGACAACTGCGTCGCGTCTGTACTGAAGTATCCGAAAGTTCTGTTAAATTATCATCCTGTGTTGTGATTATTGATGGAGTAATAATATCTTCGCTATGATTTTCCTGCGTTGTATTATGAGTAGCGAATTCCTAAAATAACAATTTTATTAGTGTAGTAAAGGAAATTGTCTTTTAACATATTATTTCATGTTAATTTTATTAATTTAAAAAATTAAGTTATTTATTATTTTTCTTTTCTTTTTTAGTTTCCACGAACAGAAAGAGAATGGATCAATATAGCGAAACTTTTTGAAGAAAAATGGAATTTCCCGCATTGCCTTGGAGCAATGGATGGAAAGCATATCAACATTTTTCCTCCAAGTAAAAGTGGATCAAAATTTTATAATTACAAAGGAAAACACAGCATGGTTTTACTGGCTATTGTGGATGCGAAATATCAATTCATCATGTGTGATTTTGGTACCAATGGTAGAGTTTCAGACGGAGGTGTTCTAAAAAACACCAAGTTTTTTGAAAAACTTGAAAACAATAAGTTAAACATTCCTGTTGAAAGTAAAGTCAGAAACAGTAGTAGAAGTATGCCCTATGTATTTGTAGTTGACGACGCCTTTCCTTTAAGGGTAGACATGATGAAACCGTTCGGACAAGCCGATCTTATTTCCCAAGATAGGAAAATATATAATTATCGCGTATCACGAGCAAGACGCATTGTTGAGAATGCGTTTGGTATTTTGGCATCAAGATTTCAAATATTTCACACGGCAATTAATTTACAACCACATAAAATTGAATCAATTGTAATGGCTACTTGCGTCTTGCACAACTATTTAATGAAATCAGTGCCAAGTTTTTATTCTCCTCCAGAATGTTTCGATTACGAAAATATTGATGTCGGAACTACTACTTTAGGATATAATGCAGAAGATTCGAAAATGGTGCGATTGCTTCGAAATAATCCAGGAAACACGAGTTTTTTGGCAAAAAAAGTGAGAGAAGAATTTATGGATTATTTTGTAAATGAAGGGCAAATTCCGTGGCAATTGAACTTTATTTAAACATTATCAACGTTGTAATTGAACCAAAAACTGTATTGCCATTAAAATAATAAAAATTTTGTACTTTTAACTCTGCATAAATACTTAAATGAGCAATGTAAGTATATAAGTACAGTATTATATTAAAAGACAAATTTTACAATACCTCAATGTCAGTATCATCGTCACTATCTATGTTGGAGCGACTGCTTCGAGGCGTATCTTGGTCATCTAAAAACCCAGTTTAAATTTAAAATATAAACATTTAAATAAATTGTTTAATTTTTCGTCTTATTTTATTGTTAAAAATTTAAGCTTACCTGAATAATTTGAAGTACCACAACTTTGGTTCGTATATCTCATCAGTTCCTGCTCCTGATTTGATTGATGCTTTAATTTTTTTCATTTCTTTTCTGTATGCGCTTCTGATGTTGTTTATTTTTTTACAACGCTTTCTTTATTAGCGTTTGGCTCCATTTCTTTTAGTTTTTCGATTAAACGGAGATAAGCAGCTTTTTTCTTGCTTCTATCACGGTATTCTTTATTTTTAACATGCCAAAGACATGGTTTGCTCTCGTAAATTTTTAAAAATTCCTCCAAAAATTTACGGCTTCTGAGTAGTGACAACAATGTCTCGTGAATGTTTGGAAGAATTATTTTCTATAACCTTATTAAATTTTATTATTTATAACCTAAAAAGTAATTTTTCAGGTTATAAATTATTTTCAGATCAAAAATTTCTCGAGTAAATTAAAATTATTAATAATTTAGAAAACTTCTCAATTCATTTCTTCAGTTTTCATAAAACATCTTGATACTTTTTATCATTTTCTTCTACATTTTAAAAAATTTACTGTTTTAATATCCAAGTAAATTAAAACATGACAACTTAAAATAAAACAAAGTTTAATAAATTCTTTTTAATTATTAAATTATAAAATTAATTTGCGATAATAGGGGGCGTCCCAGGCTACTAGTTAATATATATTCGTCTATAAAATTTAATCCATGAATTTTTTTGGTAGTAAAATCGACTTGCCATTGTCTTTCGCTGATAATTGATGCTTTTTAACATAATCTATAGCCCAAGATTTCTCTTGAAAAATTTTGTGATCTGAAATAATTCCATTAAAAAATTATTCGTGTGAAAAATTAATTTTGTGATCGGTGCTACCCAAACCACTACTACTACTATTTTCACCATAGACTTCTATGCATACTTTTTTCCCGCGAGTTTTAATAGAATTTGTTGCCGATAAACATCAGTGGCGTAATAATAAACACAATGGCGTAGCGAACATAACTGCACCCGGGCCGCGACACTATATTGGCACCCCCTCCCCCTCCAGAAACAAATTTTGTTATTCTTGGAAACCATTAGGCTCCCCTCTGCCAGTGGCGCCCGGGGCAAGGTGCCCCACCCTCTGCTGAGAGGTTTTCTTCGTTTTTGGGCGATAGGAAATTCGGAAGTTCCTCAAGGACAGGCAGTCTCAAAGGATTAACTTATGGTGTATATTCACATGTGGTGAAATGAACAAATGAATAATCAGATTTCAATGGCTCCTGGACGTCGTGTGTGGTCCATAGCTTCATTACCCCCCTCCGTCACAAGACACAGCTTATTTTTAGTAATACGTCGTTTCTGCGGTTTATAGAAAGTTTTTGATTAGTTTATTCGATAAATGAAAGTTAATTACTTTATTTAAATTAAAATTTCGGAGAGTTTATAAATTAATGCTGTATCAAAACCCATTTTCGAGTTCGAGTTTGATTTAATATGTAAATTCCTACGATAGACGATTGCGGAAAAAAATGACTTGGATATCCCGGTTAGAGTTAATCAGGTTTCACTGTGTCTATAAATAAAAAGTACACAATTAATACTCAATTTTAGAGGCATTGAACATTTCATAAGGAAATATAAGACTAGATCAACTGGCCCCAACTGACTATTTAGTTCTGTTTCGATCTTTCATACTTCCAATTATAACTTATAATTTCAAAGACAAACCTATATCAGCCAACCAAAACAAAGCACAGGTATGAACACATTCAAAGAAATCAAAAGATGGGCAAATAATAATGAACAGTGGAAGAAATTGCTGCTGTGCTACCAGTCACAGGATTGATGCAACTCATCATCATACAGTACTTCCAATTTTTTGGAACATTTTCATTTGTGTAAATAATACTGACAACATAATTGGTATAAGTCATGTATTGTCAGTAAATACATACTTTAAAGTACTTTGTTAAATTATTTTATTAAAAAGTTAATTTTTTCCAATTAAGTGCTTTAGCAAGCACTGATAGTGAAATGTGATTCCGCAATTCCTGAGTAAAACACACTTTATTTTTATGTATACGTTTTGCATACGAAGCTGTAAATGGCACTTCTTTGAAAAATAACCAATACCGCGCTGTAGTATAGTTATTACAGTTCGTTAAGAGCGCACCACTTACGTTGATATTATAGATTTTCATAAAATATATATTACAATTTTCTTTTATTCGAAAACAAGGATGAGTTGTATAAGACTTTTGTTTTCTATTTTAGTTCCTTCGATTGTTTCCCCAGATATATTTCTTCTATTAAAAATGCTCGACTATTCATAATATGAACAATAATTAGATTAAAAAGCAAAACGATATCTTCTGATGCCAGTTTTAAAATTTAGAATTGATCTGAAGTATTTCAGAAGTGGCACGAACACTAATTCCAGTATAAATTATTTTTAAAATGATTGCGAAGAAAAAGTCGATATTATTATAGATGTGAGGAAAGTTTAAGCGATTCCTAGAAACTGCCACGGTATTACCGGTTGAAAATGTCTTCAGATGTGAAGGAACAATGCTAATAGGGCAATTATATCCAGATTTTATGATTAGTACAAATGACTCGACCCGGGATATCCGACCTCCGACCTCCGACCTCCGACCTCCTGCAGCTTAGGTACAGGAGAAGGAAGGAAGACAAGATTGCATGCAATAAAAAGTTCAGCAAGCTTCTGAATGATAAACACTGACCAAACTCAGGATCAATGATTGGTGTATTAAACTAAAAAGCAATGTATGTTTTCGATATCGATATGAAAATTTTGATTTAGTACATTCTTATTCGTATATATTTTCTTAATAGATAAAACTTTAAATTTTAAATTTCGAAACATTAATAAATTGTCTTTTATTTTGGAAAAAATAATTTAAAATAAAGTTCGTACTGCTTGTTGTTCTTGTTGTCTGGCAACCATTACTACAAAAAGAAGAGTCCATTTTAAGACGTTCTTTTTCCCTTTCTCTCCTCTCCCCAACAAGAAAGTTTTGAATATTTGGTAGCGTTATACGATATTTTGGTATGTAGCTTCCACCAGCTAAACCACCAGAGATTGGTGCTCTGTAAAGTGCATGCACCAAAGCCTGTAACCTGGCTGTTTTACACGATTCAGATATTTTCCCCGTGAAAGCTATCCTGTATTCGCCGTGCCTATATATATACTAAATCAGGGGTGTCCAACTTTTTTGTTCCTCTGGGCCACATTGGAAGAAGTCATGGCGTTTTGGGCCACAAGTAGCCTATATATAATATATTTGCGACCTAATCCTTAAATATACTAGTATATTTAAAGATTAACATGTCTAGATTATAGTAATAAGTATTAAAACTTTATTACGAAAAAGAATATTTTAAAAAATTACTTCTACAGACACTTTCAATTTTTACTTAGAAATAGATAAATTCATTTATTATAAAGTTTATAATAAATGAATTTATCTATATAATAATAAATAATTTATTTGTTTGTCTCCTTTATTAATTAGAGACCTAAATAAAACAAATATTTGTTTTATTTAGGTCTCTAATTAATAAAAAAATGACGAAACACCATTTTAAAGTGCAATTTTATTCGACTATACAGTATATTTATAAATAATATGTAGCCCAGAAAGTAGCCAATGCGCCAAATGATAATTTTTACGCCAAACTAAAAAAAAGGGTAGCGAAATTTGGCGCAAAGTAACCAAATCTTGCAATGCTGGAAGGAATACTAAATAATGCTGGAGTTGAAACTCAAAGGATTATAGACCCAAATTTGAGAAAAGGAGAGAAAGCCAAAAGATAAAAAGTAGTGAGGAAGGTTGGAAAATTAAGAGTCAATATTTGCATAACAGAAGGTCTATTTAACCTTTCTCACTACTTTTTATCATTTGGCTTTTCCCTTTCTTAAATTTGGGTCTATAATCCTTTGAGTCACAACTCCAGCTTTATATAGTATTCCTTCGTCATTCACACATCTCCAAGTATTTGAAAATATTTCCTTTTCACTCAAAAATAAAATATGTATAAAAGTTTACGGCTTTGTGAAACTTCTTTTTTGAGTTTATGCCGTTGAAATAAAAAAATAAATAAAATAAAAAAATTTGTCGGTTTTGTTTACACGTTCATTGGGCCGCATTGGAACTTGCCTTGGACCACGGGTTGGACACCCCTGTAGTAAATGTTTCTGAACGTCCAATGCGCCAATCCGACTCGGGCATAACTTATTTACATTCTATTGGATGTTTTTTATGATCAACAAATTTCGTAATTTTATACCGAATAGTTTTTTTGACGTTTCTCTCGTCCCCACCGATAAAAATCGTTCAAATGATCGAAAATAACGTGATATATTTGAGTATTTGCGATAACTAGAACACTCGTGGCTATAAACTCGACTACCCCCGAGACGTACGTGGAAACGACCCGAGAACATCGACCAACAGTCTTGTTTTGTTATATGAAATGATATCGCTAAATAACCCATAATAAATGAAAAAAGGTTTTGTACTGAAGTTTAAAAAAACGTTTGTAGTTATGAAATATTGCATTTCGAATTATTATATACTTTTGTGATAGTTTTTTCGTAAAACGCTTTATATGAATATAACAAAACTACAAACGATTATAGTATTAATATTTTAGTAAGATAAGATATTTTATTTATATTTATATAAGAATATCATACATATAAAAGCCTTTATAAAAAAGTTCAAAACACCTGCTTACATTTATCATTAGACGGCAAGTCGTGTACTAAAACGTTTAGACTTTGCTAATGGAAAATGTTTATTTTTATTGTAAATAGAAAGGGTTCCGATATTGTTGTTCTCAAGTGTCAAGTTTTATGGCAACGTCTGTTCCTAAAATCTCTTTGTTCTTCTTTCGAGGGTATTGTAACGAGGCTATTTCAGTGTTCGTCGAGAGTACAGAGAGTTACGGTCGATATTTCTCCACTTCGTCGAAGATATACACAGTTACAGTCGCTAGTTTATAAATAATTTACTTCTCTATTCATCAAGTAAGTGAATAATAATTATAATATATGTTTTCCGGAGAATATTATCTCGTTTTCTTTCGTGTAATATAAAGTAAAAAGAAAATAGATCCGAGTGTAAGTTACTAGCGCGCCGCCCGGTGGCAAATATTTACATAACACAGAAGTCCGCTAAAGAGTGCATATGCATTGTATCTGAGACATTTCGAAAATCGTACCTATCGCAGTAAATCGCTTATCGTTTTTTTAATTTGTATCTGAGTTATAATATTAAGAATGAGAAAATCAAATGTAAATTGTTCTGTTTGGAAATTATCTATTAATTAAGGTTACCTGAATCATTTAAAGAAAATTATCCTGAAACAAACAAACAAATTATTGACTGTACAGAAATTAAAACTGAGAAGCCATCATCAGTTCAACATCAAATTCAGTTTTATTCCTACTATAAATCTGCTACTATAAAATATTTAATTGGAATTGCCCTCATCAGGACCTATAACATATTTTTCTAGTGGGTATGGAGGAAGAAGTACAGATTCGTTTATAACATGATTGTGGTATTCTGCAAAAACTGGAGGAAGAAGATATTTTTATAGCTGATAGAGAATTTCCTCAAATTAAATTGGGTGTCGAAAATGTATTTTAACTATGCCTTCTTTCTCAAAACCAAATCAAAAGCAGTTTAGTGATAATGAAATGGACGAAACATACAAAATTGCTCATGTAAGAATTCATGTTGAGAGAGCTATTGATAGAATTAAACTTTTTGCAATATTGAACTGCAGATTACCCATTTCACTTCTTCCATATGTAGATAAAATAATGTTTGCTTGTGCAGTATTAGTAAATTTGCAGCCTCCAATTATAAATGTGTGAAAACAAACTAATATAAGTAATAGATATGTATTATATCAATGGTGCGGTTCTTTTGAATGTCAATTTTTTAAAAAATTGACATTCAAAAGAACAAACTATTTACTTAAATACTATTTACAATTGTAGGTAAATAATAACTAAACATTTGCATCTTAATAGTGAACAAATGAATATCTCATCTTTTTCCATTTTAAGAATTACATTTTATATATTACTATAGATAACTAAATAAGAAAATTGAATATTTGTTATATATAAAGCTAATTGTATTTGGTGTATAATACATGCTATTCACTTTTAAATAAAGTTTGGAAATTTTAAACTCCAAATATTTTACAAATATCTTATTTTTTAAATGGACAATTTTTAAATCTTTACATGTGTAAGGGCATTTAATTTCGAGTAAGCTTATTTTATCTCCTTTTTTAATATACCATCAGGGCTTGCACAAATCCAGGGAGCTTCACTACAAATGATAACTCCTGCATCAATTATTTTAATATTTTTTTAAGCGAAAATAAATTTTCTGCAATTTTCTCCAATTTAATTTGCAATTGTTTCTTTGAATGTATTATTTAAAAATTGCTTTTTCTTGTTTTTATAAACAGCCATAAAGCTGCATAATCTGTATCTGTTTTTATAAACAGCCATAAAGCTGCATAATCTGTATCGTTTGTAAATGAACCAGTCTGGACATGTGCTTTGTTTTCTTGTGAGATAGGTTATTTGTGTAATTTTTGGAAGTGTGATAATCACCTATCATTATAAAATTTTAACAATTTTTCTGAAATGATAAAACCAAAAAAAAAAAAACTTAATTCGTTAGAAAAAGTTACCTTTGTAGGTAGTTTTATAACAATTATTCATATGTTTACTTTCAAATAATGATGTAATTAAGAATTTTAAATGTAATTCCTCATTGTTCATGAACTGTTGATTAAATCGGACAGCAGCACTTGATATTGTACAGTACATCTTCATCGAATTCAGCTCTGAACATTGAAGAAAGAGCACAATTAATGTGTTTTACTCTTTTGATATATAAAAATGTTGGAGCATTTGATGATAATGATGCTGGTATTTTTATTCTTTTTGTAATTACACAATTACTAAGGCAACAATCAACCTGATGTGTATATCTTATGTTGTGGAATTCCCCATTGTTGTTTTCCACTGGTAACACTTTCATTTTTATAATTATTCAATGCAAAAATCGTTGCTGCTACATGAGTAGTATATAAATGTTCATTCTGCCCCAACACTAAAATTTAAGGTTTTTTAAATTGAGTGAATTTAACCAAAATCACTAGTAAAATTCACTGAATTTAAACAAAAAATTAACACTGATAACATCTCGTTGATTTTTATTTTTTTGATTTTCGATTAAATTTAAAGAATTACGATTAAATTCATTTATTTTTTTTTAAAACCTTAAATCAATATTAATTTTTTTAAAAACCTTAAATCAGTATTAATTTTTTGTTTAAATTCAGTGAATTTTACTAGTGATTTTAGTTAAATTCACTCAATTTAAAAAACCTTCAATTTTAGTGTTGGAGCAGAATCCCCATTTATATACTACTAATATCAATGAATCTAATAATTCCTACTTTTTTTTTCAATTTAATCAAAATTAAAAAAAGTAGGAATCAACGAAATTACAACGGTGTTAAAAATCTAATGATTTCAAAAATCAACCAGATGTTCAAATCATTAAATATAAAAAAATCAAACTTTAAATTCATTCAATTCTTCATCCTTAAGAACTACTAATTTTTTAAAACCAAAGCGAGTCAATATTGTTTTAATATAATCAATACAATATTCATAATCAATTTCCAACTCATATAATTTCTTTGTTGGAGTATTTTGAACTTTTCCAATATTGTTTAGTTTTTTCTTTGTCTCCCATTTATTTAAAAAAATTTTATTCAATATAATTTATAAAATTCTATCTATCAATATGTATAAATTTACCTTGTGGTGTACATAAAAATCTACCATAAGGTGTATCAACATAATCAAAGATATGTAAATAACCTCTTTCATCTTTCCAAATATAATAAAACCTTTCTTTCCCACCGTATTGAATTAATACCAACTTAAGATTATTAATATCAATCTCCATTAGTTTTTTCGCTGTCTCCATTTATATACGAAAAATTAATCAGTATAATTTATAAATATTGAAATAGTATATTTTTGCAAGAAATTCTGAACATCATTTGCTTCCTCATGGATTCTGATTAGGATCTTCGTATTCATCCGTTTCTGTATAATCTTTTATCTTAATCATTTATTTGTTTAAAAATTTCAGCTTAATATTTAACTTGAGCTAAATGTTATTTAACTTAAGCTAAAAGATATTTAACTTAAGCTAAAAGATATTTAGCTTGACAAAAAAAAATATTTAGATTATGTTTTAATCTTGTACAAAAAAGATATTTATATTATCTTTAATCTTTAGACAATTTACATTATGTTTTATATATTTTTAATATTTATATTATGTTTTAATCTTGTACAAAAAAATATTTAGATTGTTTTATATTTTTATATTTAAACAAAAAAATATTTAGATTATATTTATATATTATGCAAAAAAAAATATTTAGACAAAAAACATAAAAATTATAAATTAGAAATACTGTAAATATTTTATTTACCAAAAAATTATAGAGTAAAAAAAATATTAAAATAGTCTAAAAAGAGTATAAAAAATAAAACACAATTTTAAACAGATAATTTATATTAAAAAAAACGTCTTTTTATCTGTTTAAAATTGTGTTTTATTTTTTATACTCTTTTAGACTATTTTAATATGTTTTTTACTCTATAATTTTTTGGTAAATAAAATATTTACAGTATTTGTAATTTATAATTTTTATGTTTTTTGTCTAAATATTTTTTTTGCATAATATATAAATATAATCTAAATATTTTTTTGTACAAGATTAAAACATAATATAAATATTAAAAATATATAAAACATAATGTAAATTGTCTAAAGATTAAAGATAATATAAATATCTTTTTTGTACAAGATTAAAACATAATCTAAATATTTTTTTTTGTCAAGCTAAATATCTTTTAGCTTAAGTTAAATATCTTTTAGCTTAAGTTAAATAACATTTAGCTCAAGTTAAATATTAAGCTGAAATTTTTAAACAAATAAATGATTAAGATAAAAGATTATACAGAAACGGATGAATACGAAGATCCTAATCAGAATCCATGAGGAAGCAAATGATGTTCAGAATTTCTTGCAAAAATATACTATTTCAATATTTATAAATTATACTGATTAATTTTTCGTATATAAATGGAGACAGCGAAAAAACTAATGGAGATTGATATTAATAATCTTAAGTTGGTATTAATTCAATACGGTGGGAAAGAAAGGTTTTATTATATTTGGAAAGATGAAAGAGGTTATTTACATATCTTTGATTATGTTGATACACCTTATGGTAGATTTTTATGTACACCACAAGGTAAATTTATACATATTGATAGATAGAATTTTATAAATTATATTGAATAAAATTTTTTTAAATAAATGGGAGACAAAGAAAAAACTAAACAATATTGGAAAAGTTCAAAATACTCCAACAAAGAAATTATATGAGTTGGAAATTGATTATGAATATTGTATTGATTATATTAAAACAATATTGACTCGCTTTGGTTTTAAAAAATTAGTAGTTCTTAAGGATGAAGAATTGAATGAATTTAAAGTTTGATTTTTTTATATTTAATGATTTGAACATCTGGTTGATTTTTGAAATCATTAGATTTTTAACACCGTTGTAATTTCGTTGATTCCTACTTTTTTTAATTTTGATTAAATTGAAAAAAAAAGTAGGAATTATTAGATTCATTGATATTAGTAGTATATAAATGGGGATTCTGCTCCAACACTAAAATTGAAGGTTTTTTAAATTGAGTGAATTTAACTAAAATCACTAGTAAAATTCACTGAATTTAAACAAAAAATTAATACTGATTTAAGGTTTTTAAAAAAATTAATATTGATTTAAGGTTTTAAAAAAAAATAAATGAATTTAATCGTAATTCTTTAAATTTAATCGAAAATCAAAAAAATAAAAATCAACGAGATGTTATCAGTGTTAATTTTTTGTTTAAATTCAGTGAATTTTACTAGTGATTTTGGTTAAATTCACTCAATTTAAAAAACCTTCAATTTTAGTGTTGGAGCAGAATCCCCATTTATATACTACTAATATCAATGAATCTAATAATTCCTACTTTTTTTTTCAATTTAATCAAAATTAAAAAAAGTAGGAATCAACGAAATTACAACGGTGTTAAAAATCTAATGATTTCAAAAATCAACCAGATGTTCAAATCATTAAATATAAAAAAATCAAACTTTAAATTCATTCAATTCTTCATCCTTAAGAACTACTAATTTTTTAAAACCAAAGCGAGTCAATATTGTTTTAATATAATCAATACAATATTCATAATCAATTTCCAACTCATATAATTTCTTTGTTGGAGTATTTTGAACTTTTCCAATATTGTTTAGTTTTTTCTTTGTCTCCCATTTATTTAAAAAAATTTTATTCAATATAATTTATAAAATTCTATCTATCAATATGTATAAATTTACCTTGTGGTGTACATAAAAATCTACCATAAGGTGTATCAACATAATCAAAGATATGTAAATAACCTCTTTCATCTTTCCAAATATAATAAAACCTTTCTTTCCCACCGTATTGAATTAATACCAACTTAAGATTATTAATATCAATCTCCATTAGTTTTTTCGCTGTCTCCATTTATATACGAAAAATTAATCAGTATAATTTATAAATATTGAAATAGTATATTTTTGCAAGAAATTCTGAACATCATTTGCTTCCTCATGGATTCTGATTAGGATCTTCGTATTCATCCGTTTCTGTATAATCTTTTATCTTAATCATTTATTTGTTTAAAAATTTCAGCTTAATATTTAACTTGAGCTAAATGTTATTTAACTTAAGCTAAAAGATATTTAACTTAAGCTAAAAGATATTTAGCTTGACAAAAAAAAATATTTAGATTATGTTTTAATCTTGTACAAAAAAGATATTTATATTATCTTTAATCTTTAGACAATTTACATTATGTTTTATATATTTTTAATATTTATATTATGTTTTAATCTTGTACAAAAAAATATTTAGATTGTTTTATATTTTTATATTTAAACAAAAAAATATTTAGATTATATTTATATATTATGCAAAAAAAAATATTTAGACAAAAAACATAAAAATTATAAATTAGAAATACTGTAAATATTTTATTTACCAAAAAATTATAGAGTAAAAAAAATATTAAAATAGTCTAAAAAGAGTATAAAAAATAAAACACAATTTTAAACAGATAATTTATATTAAAAAAAACGTCTTTTTATCTGTTTAAAATTGTGTTTTATTTTTTATACTCTTTTAGACTATTTTAATATGTTTTTTACTCTATAATTTTTTGGTAAATAAAATATTTACAGTATTTGTAATTTATAATTTTTATGTTTTTTGTCTAAATATTTTTTTTGCATAATATATAAATATAATCTAAATATTTTTTTGTACAAGATTAAAACATAATATAAATATTAAAAATATATAAAACATAATGTAAATTGTCTAAAGATTAAAGATAATATAAATATCTTTTTTGTACAAGATTAAAACATAATCTAAATATTTTTTTTTGTCAAGCTAAATATCTTTTAGCTTAAGTTAAATATCTTTTAGCTTAAGTTAAATAACATTTAGCTCAAGTTAAATATTAAGCTGAAATTTTTAAACAAATAAATGATTAAGATAAAAGATTATACAGAAACGGATGAATACGAAGATCCTAATCAGAATCCATGAGGAAGCAAATGATGTTCAGAATTTCTTGCAAAAATATACTATTTCAATATTTATAAATTATACTGATTAATTTTTCGTATATAAATGGAGACAGCGAAAAAACTAATGGAGATTGATATTAATAATCTTAAGTTGGTATTAATTCAATACGGTGGGAAAGAAAGGTTTTATTATATTTGGAAAGATGAAAGAGGTTATTTACATATCTTTGATTATGTTGATACACCTTATGGTAGATTTTTATGTACACCACAAGGTAAATTTATACATATTGATAGATAGAATTTTATAAATTATATTGAATAAAATTTTTTTAAATAAATGGGAGACAAAGAAAAAACTAAACAATATTGGAAAAGTTCAAAATACTCCAACAAAGAAATTATATGAGTTGGAAATTGATTATGAATATTGTATTGATTATATTAAAACAATATTGACTCGCTTTGGTTTTAAAAAATTAGTAGTTCTTAAGGATGAAGAATTGAATGAATTTAAAGTTTGATTTTTTTATATTTAATGATTTGAACATCTGGTTGATTTTTGAAATCATTAGATTTTTAACACCGTTGTAATTTCGTTGATTCCTACTTTTTTTAATTTTGATTAAATTGAAAAAAAAAGTAGGAATTATTAGATTCATTGATATTAGTAGTATATAAATGGGGATTCTGCTCCAACACTAAAATTGAAGGTTTTTTAAATTGAGTGAATTTAACTAAAATCACTAGTAAAATTCACTGAATTTAAACAAAAAATTAATACTGATTTAAGGTTTTTAAAAAAATTAATATTGATTTAAGGTTTTAAAAAAAAATAAATGAATTTAATCGTAATTCTTTAAATTTAATCGAAAATCAAAAAAATAAAAATCAACGAGATGTTATCAGTGTTAATTTTTTGTTTAAATTCAGTGAATTTTACTAGTGATTTTGGTTAAATTCACTCAATTTAAAAAACCTTAAATTTTAGTGTTGGGGCAGAATGAACATTTATATACTACTAACATGTTTACACTGATCATTGATACCTTACACGTTGCTGTAACTATTTTTCTATCTGCTGATAACTGAAAATTAATTCGTATTAAAAATAACATGTATGAAATTTTCATTATAGAAAAATTCAAAAGTAATACTAATAGCTTAATAAAAGAATCGTTGTCATGCAAATCATCCTGTTTATTTATTGCAGAGGTTATGCTGACATCTAAAATTATTTAAAAGTGCAAATTAGCAATTTAAATGTAAAAAAATGCCTTAATGCAAATATAATGGTTTATCATTAATTTTCATTTGGAGTAGGCAAGTAGCTGTAACTAACTTCCTCCATCGTTTTTAATTTCTTTAATTGCAAATATATGCTTAGCCTTTGCAAGTAAAATTTCTTTCTTCCGTCTCGAAGGTGTAAAAAATTTGTCAGTATGGACTGATTGAAAACCACATGTTAAAATTATATTAGGCATTATTGACTAAAAGAAAAAAATTACACTAGAGTTAATGAAAGTTCTATTTTTTAATTGTATATTTTATTAAAACATTTTAAATTTGGTAAGTTGAAATTGAAAACTTTTACCAGATTTTCTGTACCAAGAAACCTTTTTTTTTTCCTTGGTAAGAATTCATATAGAGAAGAAACCCTTTGGGTTTTTCTCCTACGTGTTAAATAAATATTTGCCCTAGGGCGGAGCGCGAATAAATTGTACTCGGGGTCTATACATTTTTAAATAATTTCTTTTTATATGCAGAATGTCCGATTCCGAATTTGAATGCTCTGATTTATCAGGAAGCGAATCTGAAGAGAGCGTCACAAGCGGTAGCGATCTAGAATATAGTGACAATTTTGATGGAAACATCGATTCTTCAAAGGAATGGTGCGAGATAAACACAGAAAATCCTCCTCCCCCTCCTCCACGCTTTCGTTTTCTGGCAACTCCTGGGTGTACTTTTACTCTAAATGATATGTTCGATCCGTTAGAATATTTCAGATTATTTTTTGATATTAAGTTAATTAATATTATTGTTAAAGAAACTAACCGTTATGCGATGCAACAACCAAAAAGAACCAGAAAGCATTGGGATTCCATTACAACAGAAGATATTTATGTATTTCTCACAATTTGTATAATTCAGGGAATTATCCATAAACCGGAGGAGAGGATGTACTGGAACACGAATGAAATATTTCTCACGCCAATTTTTAGTAAATTGATGCCAAGAAACAGATTTTTACAAATAAATAAAAATTTACATTTCAACAATAATGACAATTACGATTCGACAACCAATCCCGATTCGAAAATAAATAAAATTTGGTCAATAGTAGCAAATTTAAATAAAAAATTTTCACATCTTTATGTACCAGAAAGAGATATATCAGTAGACGAGAGTCTTATGCTTTACAAGGGTCGTCTTTCGTGGAAACAGTACATTCCACTGAAACGGTCTCGTTTCGGAGTGAAATTCTTTATGCTATGTGAATCTGCATCCGGCTACTTGTACAATTTTATAATTTACACCGGAAAAGGTACTAGTTTTAATGAAAAATACCAAGAAATGCCAATAGCATCCCAAATCGTGTTATCGTTAGCGGATCCGTTGTTAGGCAAAGGCTACTGTCTAACAACGGATAATTATTATACTTCCCCACAGTTAGCGGATTATCTCATATCGTGCCAGACAGATTTGTGCGGAACAGTACGTACCAACAGAAGAGATGTTCCAGGTGTAATTCATAACAAAAAATTGGAAAAGGGAGAGATAGTGGCAGTGCAGAGAGATAAAGTAATGATTTTAAAATGGCAGGATAAGAGAGCTGTTACTTTACTCTCTACATTCCACAATCCTGTAAAAGTAAACAAAGAAATGCGTGACGGTAGCGTACAATCGAAGCCACAGGTTGTTATCGACTACAACCACACAATGGGAGGTGTTGACCTCTTAGATCAACATCTCCGTGATTATCCGGTGACAAGAAAAGGGGGGAAGAAATATTATAAAAAAATATTTTTTCATTTGGTAGATATTTGTTTGTATAATGCATTTGTGTTGTATAAGAAAAATGGTGGCGAAAAGGATAATTTAGGTTTTAGAATGAGACTTATTGAACGGCTAATGGAGGAATACCACACCGAAACGAGAGGAAATAAACAAAATCGGCCGAAATCGTTCGGTCCTCTTAGACTCACGGAAAGACATTTCCCGGTTTTTGTTCCGCCAACCGAGAAAAAAGATGCACCCACTAGATACTGTGCTGTATGTTGCAAAAGAAATAAGAAAACAGGGAAAAAACTGAGGAAAGAAACACGTTATTACTGCAAAGATTGTGACGTTGCGCTATGTGCAGTGCCGTGTTTTGGAATATACCATACTAAAGCAGATTTTTAACTTTAATTTTATTATTTTTTTATTATATTCGTAATTATGTAATGTATACTCTTACATTATATTTGATATTTATTTTTGAAATTATATAATTATATGTGCAATTTTATAGCATTGTATTGTATTTTTATTTATTATAACTTGTAATTTTCTAAGTAAAATTGTAGTTCATATTATTTTCAATGCGTGAATGAATAAAATTAATTTTCAAGCATAATTCTACAATAAGCTCTTAGACTCTCTAAAATTATTTCCCAAGATAAAATTGAAAAATATTACGGTCCTCTTCAAATTATTCAGCTCCATAAGTATGAATGCTGTTGGTTACGCCTCTCCGATTTGGAACCTGTCTAATTATCAAAAACTAGACATAATCCAAAATAAATTTATTGGTAAAATCTCGGTTGAATACAACAACGTTCCTGGAAGTGCTCTCTGTCTAGAGCAGTGTTTCTCAACGGGGGCGATATCGCCCCCATGTGGGCGTTTTTCCATGTTCAGGGGGCGATTAGTAATAATTTATATTTTGGGGGCGAAAAACAATTTTCTGGGCGATATAGTAAAACATTATATTAAGAATAATTAGATATTTTATTCGTTATATCGTACAATAATTAAACAAATAACATTATTAGTCACTAGTCTATTCAATGCAGTACGCATTTGCCGTTAGTCTTGGCCCTCGACGTCGGTATTTTGTAGTGAAGGGGGCGATACTACGTAACGGTTTTATTGAAGGGGGCAATACTACGTTGAAGGGGCGACGATTCGTTAGAGGTTGAGAAACACAGGTCTAGATGTTAACCCAATCTGACTAGGGCGTAGCTTATTTACATTCTATTGGACGTTGTTTATTTTATAATATGTACATTACTAATATATTATGTACATATTTAGTTGTTGTACAAATTTAGTAATTTCGACCTAAATAGAAGTTTTCGTTTTGGACCTTTCTCTGGTCACACCTATAAAAATGGTTCAAACGATCCAAAATAACGGGATATATTTGAATATTTGCGATAGCTATAACACAAGTGTCTAGAAACCCGACTTCCCCTGAGACGTTCATGGAATGACCCGCGAACATCAACCAACAGCCGCTTTCAAGGTCAAACAGTTGTGAATGCCGTTCAACTGCCGCGTTTTGTGTTAAGCCTGGTACCCACATGCGGCAACGGACGACGGAAACGGTCGACGGAGCGGCAAAATGACGTCACTTTTGCCGTCGACGTCGACGGAATACGAAGTTGAAAATTTTCAACTTTTGCCACGACGGAAAGCGGCACGGCAAAAATTAGACCAATAGGAGGACCGTTTAGCGATGTCGTCATAAAGATCACGTGGGACGATAGCGTTCAAACTATGGCGGTCGGCAAGCTAAAAAGCTTTATTTATACACTAATACGCTAATATATTTCATTTATACGCTGTATTACTATCCGATTTAAATATTAATGTCAAATAGACTTACTGCGTAAAGTATTGGGAATGGAGTAAGCGTAATTCGGCGACGAAAGTATTCGATATTCCTAACTTTCGACGATTTAGAATATTTTCCCTATCCAAATTATTCGTTTTTCAGGTTTTTTTATTTGCGATAAGATCGAAGGCAAACTTAAAAAGTTTAATTGATATAACAAAGCAATCCCGGTAGACGCCATTTTCGACTACTGGCACGTGGCCTACCTACTGTAGTAGCTTGTTTATATTTACGGCTGGCAGATGGCGCGTTTCAATTGTAGGGTAATTTCCGCATGTGAGTACACGAGACACGGAAAGACGACGGAACGGCAACCGTTTCCGTCGACGATTTCGTCGTCCGTTGCCGCATGTGGGTACCAGGCTTTATACGAAAGAAAAATTATGTCGCTAAGTAACCCATAATAAACGAAAAGAAGTTTTGTAAAAAATTTTTCAAAATGCTTTTGATTATAAAATAATGCATTTCCAATACTTTTGTGATAGTTTTTTCGTAAAACTTTTACATTTATGTAATAAAACTACAAACGATTATAAAATCAATATACTAGTAATATAAGATATTATATTTATATTTGTATAAGATAATATTATACATATAAAAACATTTATAAAGAATTTAAAAACACCTGCTTACAATTGTGAAGTCTTAGACAGCAAGTTGTGAACTAAAACGTTAATACTGTATTTATTGTAATTAGAAAGATTTTCGTTACCGATGTTCCCAATTCTAACGTTTTATGACTACAGTAACCGGTTTTAGTCGTCTGTTCCTAAAATTTCTCTCTTTATTCTTCTTTAGAGAGTATTGCAACGAGACTATTTTAAAGTGTACTTGCCAGTTTCATCGAGAGTATAGAAAGTTACGGTCAATATTTCTCCTCTTTCATCGAGGGTACAGACACAGTCGATATTTTCTAAACAATTTACTTTTCTATTCATCAAGTAAGTGATTAATAATTAATAATTGTAATATATTTTTCCCGGAGAATATTATCTCGTTCTTTTCTTTCGTATATTATAAAAAAATTCGATTTTTAAATAATTTCTTTTTATATGCAGAATGTCCGATTCCGAATTTGAATGCTCTGATTTATCAGGAAGCGAATCTGACGAAAGCTTCACAAGCGGTAGCGATCTAGAATATAGTGACAATTTTGATGGAAACATCGATTCTTCAAAGGAATGGTGCGAGATAAACACAGAAAATCCTCCTCCCCCTCCTCCACGCTTTCGTTTTCTGGCAACTCCTGGGTGTACTTTTACTCTAAATGATATGTTCGATCCGTTAGAATATTTCAGATTATTTTTTGATATTAAGTTAATTAATATTATTGTTAAAGAAACTAACCGTTATGCGATGCAACAACCAAAAAGAACCAGAAAGCATTGGGATTCCATTACAACAGAAGATATTTATGTATTTCTCACAATTTGTATAATTCAGGGAATTATCCATAAACCGGAGGAGAGGATGTACTGGAACACGAATGAAATATTTCTCACGCCAATTTTTAGTAAATTGATGCCAAGAAACAGATTTTTACAAATAAATAAAAATTTACATTTCGACAATAATGACAATTACGATTCGACAACCAATCCCGATTCGAAAATAAATAAAATTTGGTCAATAGTAGCAAATTTAAATAAAAAATTTTCACATCTTTATGTACCAGAAAGAGATATATCAGTAGACGAGAGTCTTATGCTTTACAAGGGTCGTCTTTCGTGGAAACAGTACATTCCACTGAAACGGTCTCGTTTCGGAGTGAAATTCTTTATGCTATGTGAATCTGCATCCGGCTACTTGTACAATTTTATAATTTACACCGGAAAAGGTACTACTTTTAATGAAAAATACCAAGAAATGCCAATAGCATCCCAAATCGTGTTATCGTTAGCGGATCCGTTGTTAGGCAAAGGCTACTGTCTAACAACGGATAATTATTATACTTCTCCACAGTTAGCGGATTATCTCATATCGTGCCAGACAGATTTGTGCGGAACAGTACGTACCAACAGAAGAGATGTTCCAGGTGTAATTCATAACAAAAAATTGGAAAAGGGAGAGATAGTGGCAGTGCAGAGAGATAAAGTAATGATTTTAAAATGGCAGGATAAGAGAGCTGTTACTTTACTCTCTACATTCCACAACCCTGTAAAAGTAAACAAAGAAATGCGTGATGGTAGCGTACAATCGAAGCCACAGGTTGTGTTGGACTACAACCACACAATGGGAGGTGTTGACCTCTTAGATCAACATCTGCATGATTATCCGGTGACAAGAAAAGGGGGAAAGAAATATTATAAAAAAATATTTTTTCATTTGGTAGATATTTGTTTGTATAATGCATTTGTGTTATATAAGAAAAATGGTGGCGAAAAGGATAACTTAGGTTTTAGAATGAGACTTGTTGAACGGCTAATGGAGGAATATCACACCGAAACGAGAGGAAATAAACAAAATCGGCCGAAATCGTTCGGTCCTCTTAGACTCACGGGAAGACATTTTCCGGGCTGTATTCCGCCAACTGAGAAAAAAGATGCACCCACTAGATGCTGTGTTGTATGTAGCCAAAGTAGTAAGAAGGGGAAAAAACTGAGGAAAGAATCGCGGTATTACTGCAAAGATTGTGACGTTGCGTTATGTGCTGCACCGTGTTTTAGATTATACCATACTAAAGTAGATATTTAAGTTCAATTTTATTATATTTCGTAATTATGTCATGTATACTCTTATTTGTTTTTCATATGTAATTATATGTACAATTTTATAGCATATTTTATTTCTATTTATTATAACTTGTAATTATGTCAAATCTATCTTTATAACATTAAATTTATATTCGTTTTTCTGTTTTGTCGTGTTTTTTCACCCTGTTTCCACCCGATCGAGAGTCTGTCTCGAGCATGGCTCTTATTTACGTTCTACTGGACGATTTTTATGACCAACAAATGCCATAATTTTATGCCCAATAGAAGATTTTGTTTTGGACCTTTCTCTGGTCTTTGGACGTATAAAAATAGTACAAATGATCGAAAATAACATGATATATTTGAGTATTTGCGGTAACTAGAACATACGTGGCTATAAACCCGACTTTCCATGAGACATTCATGGAAACGACCCGCCAACAGCTGCTCTGAAGGTCAAACGGTTGTAGACACTATTATAGCGGTTTGTTTTATATGAAAAAAATGATATCGCTAAATAATACATAATAAACGAAAGGAAGTTTTGTACAAAAGTTTTTGAAAAATGCTTTTAGTTATAAAATATTGTATATTTGTGGTAGAAAGATGCCATTTGGCATTATTTTCTGCATAACTGATAAAATTAAAATCAAGTACTTCATTTTTATTTCAGTTAATATTAATTATTAATAATAATAAATGGGTTTTTCTAAACTGAATTTAAAAAATTAATTAGGCGTTAATTAACATTCATTTAAAATATATAATTTGTAATTCTCAATTATATAATATTAATTGAAATGAATGAAAGCTTTCTTTTCAATTATTTTATTTAAAATTTTAAAGTACGTTTTCAATCCACTCAACATATTATAACAGATTTATTTTGTTTAAGAATTCAAAGTATGTTTTTATACAACCTGTCAGAAAACAAATTTTTATTATAAAGTCTACAGATTGGTACTGTTCCAAATAACCATGCTTTACTATTGTAATTACAAATACTGTACTATTAAAATATTGAAAAATTCAACCTTCTTTAGTCAAAACTTACAGAATACAGTACAAAGATAGCTTATTTTATTTCTAAGTTGAAAAAGTGAATTATATTAGCTTTACAGTATGGTTACTATAGTCTATCGTAACTTGGCACCTACTGTAAACAAACTAAAGACACCTGCCTTTGTTTATTGATTTAAACCCACGTCCATCAATTAGAAAGCGCGTTGCATCTCATTCGTCCGCAGAAAATGGTTCTTCATTATTTATAAAATCATTAATGAAATACTAGTGACTTAGCAATGATTATAAATGTAATTATTTGATATTTGTAAAATTGTTATTTTAATGAATATTTGCACATTCTGAATCACTAAAAATAAACTTTTTCCGGTCGTGCACACTAATGTCTTGGTTTCGTTTTCCATTCATCACAATAACTATCATTATTTCAAAATGTATCGAGCATATAGAAAAAGAACAATGAATGTGGGAATTTTATGAGATTTCGGAAACTGTTCTGAAAAAACTGATTATTCAGTCGAACACAAGTAGTGACGAAAGCGATATAAATGATTACTTTGAGCAACTATCTTCTGATACAGATGATTAATAAGGTAAGTTTACATTATAATTATTTTTAAAAAATTTTAATTATATAAATATCACAAACATTAATTCATACATTACAGTAACGTTTTCCTTTAGAAGTTTGCGTATGATTTTTAAGGATTGCCGGAGAATTTTTTTTGTTTTGTTTTAAATATATTTAATAAAATAGTTGTGTAGATAAAAATTCAGATGTTCAACTACACAATTATAAATATGTTTTGTGTAAATCTTTATAATATATATTTAAACGATGTTAATAATTTAAACTGCTACGTAAAAATGTTAAAGTAGGCTATAATAAGTTTTCTAAGTATTATCTCTGTAATTTTTAAATTGTGATCACTCTGACCTACTTTAACACGTGCAGAGAAAGGGGCTTAACTGGTCAACACGGGTCTAGCCCAGGGGTCGGCAACCTGCGGCTCGCGAGCCACATGCGGCTCTTTGGATGTGAAGCTGCGGCTCTTTAGTTCCATACGCAAATTTTATTTATTTTATCAAAAAAAAAAAACTTTAAAAACGTTCTGAATCGATTAACGAGGATTAGGCACTGATTCTATCTCTCAGCCACTTGTACTCACTTTTCACCGCACCCCTCCCCCGTGACATGCGTCGTCACTGTCGTCAGTCCGTCGGAAGCTCTCGAATGACGCCGTCGTTGGATGTTTCTATTATCTAATTTGTTGTGAAAAACACTACTTATATATGAATAAATAGATATTTTTTCTTATGAATAAATAGAT